GAAGTCTCGATGCAAGTCCAAGATAAGAACGAGAATTTCACGAGACCTAAAGCAATCACCATAGAGAATGGTTGCTTTGGAGGGATTAAGTCGGTTTTGCTGTAATAAAGACAGTAAAGCACCCTATTATATATATATATATATAATGGCGTCCGGGCGAGTACCAACAACAAGACCTACAGGAGCCCCATGTGCCAATTCAATTAAAGCTCCTGGCTTATGTTGTCCGGTTTTCCGTTTGTGTTGATAGCTATCTCAAACTTAGATTTTTTAGGCACTAGACTGTACCCTACCTACAGGAGCCCCATGTGATTAGCCAATTAAAGCTCCTGGCTTATGTTGTCCGGTTTTCCGTTTGTGTTGATAGCTATCTCAAACTTAGATTTTTTAGGCACTAGTTTGGACTGTACCCATTGTTTTAATGAACTTACAATTAGGTATGTTGCATGTGCACACAACCCAAACTGGATACTTCCAGTATGGGCTGCTAAGTATATCCCTTATTAGAACAGAAAAAGCCGTTTCGGAAGCTTTTAGGCAACCTGGCAGTATCCCAGCCGTCGTGCTTCCTTCTGGTGGCATGGCAGTTAGGCACCGAAAGGGTGCTACAACTGAACGATTTTTTTGAACCAAGTGACTATTTTCAAAAATGTCTTCGATGCAACAAAACGGAATTGATGTCGCGGCCCTGAAACAAATACAGAGGAGAGTACGAAAAGTTGGTTCCTGATATAAATTCCACTGGATCGCCAACCCAATAAAATAAAAACCGGGTCACAGTATTGGTTTTTTCCTGTCCGGCCTCTACAAGAGAAAACTCGACTCAGAACCCTGCGCAATAAATCTACGTCTTGCTTCACTGAAGCTGAGACTGACAGCCCGGAGCTGTGAATAAAGAGAAGAGTTCTGTAGTGAAATTGTTACTCTGCTCCCCTCAGTCCCGAGAACTGATAACACTCGTTTGCTGGAAGGATGCAATGCACGTATTGGTCCAGATAATTGTGGCCAAGTGTCATCATGCGTCATGGTATTAATAATAGTAAATAATCGTTCAGCTGTAGCATCCTTTCGGTGCTTATTTGCCATGCCACACGAAGGACACGAGAGCCGGGATACTGCCAGGTCGCCCAAGCCTAGATAAGGAAAGTCGAGAGGCAGAGGTCGGGTTCGAATCACGGACCTTCCGGTCAGTAAATTCGCACTCTAATCACCTGGTTCATCTCACCCATTCGTCATGGCACCAAGTTATGGCAGTTAAGCACCAGAATCTATCACTGGTGTACTAATCCCGATGATGACGAGGATGATGACGGTTATTATGATGCTGGTATTGGGATTTCGAACGCCAATACCGACCGACTTGCTATCTACGCGTTTGCCATCACCAATTAGAGATTTCGCCTCGAAAAGCGCCACATGGACATTCCCGCACAAGCCACTTCCACGTCGACTACGTTGCAATACGTCGGAGATGTCCGCAAAACGTCCATCAAACAAGTGATGCGGGAGCAGTGTGGAACACACCACCGACTTGCCCAAACGAAGATTAACATCCAGCTTCGCCAAGCGACTTCGCACCAAACTGCGCAATGATGTTGTCTACTCACATGGTGACGAGACGTTTGCAAGTAAATCACCAGGCTGGGTAAACAAACTAACAGCCACCTGATCAACAACCAATAAACCCACCCGAGGTACCAATAATTTGACACATTAACAACCTAGGCGTCTTCCTGTAGAACTTTCTGTCAGTATGGCGTCTCCATGATTTGAATCGTTCATTATGTCACTGTTCTGTGCTTTGTGTGATTTTGGAGCGAATTTCGCTCGCACTGTTTTCACCTCATCGATTGTCCCGTATCCTAAGTCATTTGTTCGTTGGGATGTGGAGGCATCCAAATTAAAATAGAAATCGGATATCCTTTGTTCTGAGATAGTCCGCTGGAATTCGTTGTGGTAGTAGTGCTTAGATTTTTTCAGAAACGTGGGCAGTACCAACTGTTATATAAACAAAGACAGCAACTAGAGACTCCCAATGCTACATGGTGAACCGCCCATCTTAAATGTCGGATGTATAAGACGTGCTTGCATCTGTAGTATACTTTGCTGTACTGGGTCCCTTTTTGGAGAACAGGGATCAACGTAACCTTTTAACAGCGTCACACTTACAAATATAGCTACGAGGAAGAGTTGGTCACAGTCTAGACTAATGTATACCACAGCCACGTGTTTTTGGGTAGAGCTGTGTTTCGAACAAATCAAGCAATCCATATTGGTGACCACATGGGATGTTTCGCAACGTTTTCGGACGTATCTAACTATAACTGCATGGTCAGACTGCCGGGCAATCAAACACTGCGATAAAACGTAATTGCTTTGTTCTTAATGGCCCTGGATGATTCCTAACAATTCATGAGGCCATCGGTCGACATTTCTCGCGGAGATTCACGGAGAAGCGAAAAGCAGGCGTCCCGAACATTGCTACGTCGTCGTTGATTGTGTCCCTGAGATGGTTCTTTGTAGCAACGGGAGTGATAGCTCAGGCACGAATGCAATTGTCTTAAGGATATTTCTTGGGCTGGGTAGTATCTATCACTTTGGAGAGACCATCTGATTGGATAGTGGCTTTTAGTTCAGGTGCAACTCACGCAGCTTAAACAGCTACGGAGTGTGGTATCTTGTCGAACCGTTAACACTGATGGTGAGGTGGCTAAGTTCTTCTCCAAAATCTCCCAAGAAACCGTTCCCCACGGCAACGGCGGCAGTCAAGTCAGAACAAACTCATTCTTTGGGGATGCCTTTAGCAGAGCCGTGAGCCCCATGACAGCTTTTACATCAGACCGTTGAACTCTCTTCAGCTGTCGGATTCATAAATTGTCAACATGAAGCTGGCGAAGGAGCCATAATTAACAGATGAAAGTGCGTGAGAGACAACCAGAAGCCTGAAGAGCACAAGAGCCGAATTAAAAAATTCCAGTTAAGCAGAGCATCCTGGTAGCAGCAACGACCATTTCCACTATCATGGACGCCTTTGAGGTCTGGAGAAACTACGATACCTAGGCCCTTTTCCCTTGTTGAGTTTTTAAACACCGTCCCAACGTGACAGATGCCAAACGGAAGAACGAAGCACTTGTCACGGTAAGAGGAAAGTCTCCATTTGATACAGCATTCAGAGAGTGAACCAAGAGCCCTCTTAAACTTATCGTCTTCCTCAAAAGCAGATACATAGGACCAGATTTACATACCATTTGCATACGGTGTGCAACCAAGATCAAGCATCACGAGCAAGCTCAGATACAAGTGTCAAACCTGAAGGGACTCCACCAGGCATCACCACTGATTTGGAAAAAAACGCTGCTCACTCGGACGACTAAGACGCAATCTTCCAGGAAGTTGGTTATCCAGCCCCACACACAGAAGGTTTAGCAGAAGTCATTCTTGAAGTAATCTGTCAAAAGCTTAATTGAGATATATAACTTTTAAGCGTTCACCAGCATAAAGCATTTCAACCCGTCTACATGACAACAGATTTTGAATAAAGGACAAGAACTCCCGGAAAAGACACTAATCATTTGCGAACGTACTTGTAGGGTGGGCTTAACTGTTCGACCGAAAGACCTTACAGAGGCTCCCAGACAAACAGAAAGGTGTTTAGGTTGACGTGTCTTCAATCAGTTCAATTCAGCTTTCCAGCAAAAAAAAACGTGTAGCGAAGTGCAGTGGTTCCAACTGCTACAGCTTCGTTTACCGGGAATAAGAAGGATAATGGAATGAGAGCCCCCATTGTAGGAGACAGCTCAATCAATTCAAGGACACTCACTGGTTCGGTTTGTCTTGTATGGCATGGAGTGAGAGCTACGCAATGAATGCGGTAGCTCCAGTGCAAGACCGCCATATCTGTCAGGGTCCATAGCTATTCTGTTTGTCTCGTCCCGCCACTCCCAATTGGAGGGGGACATCTTCCACTAATACAACTGAGTTGTTTGGTAAGGGCTTGCATGCTTCGTGACCATCATAGGCTACTCGCCCCTGGGTCGAGATGACCCAGTGGTTAGGGCGTGAATTTACTTAAAGAGTGATCCGTGGTTCGAACCCAACCTCTGAATCCAGACTTCTGTCTAGGCTTGGGCAACCCGGCAGTATCCCAGCCCTCGTGCTTAGTTCGAGTGGCATGGAACGTAGACACCGAAAGGGTGTTGCTGCTGAACGATTACCTATATTTATAACCGCCCCTGGGTCGATACAAAACTAGGCGAGGAGAGCTCAATGATAAAAACAATCCTCCGATATACAAACTAGATGACCTGATCAGCACAACCTGTTGAGTGCGACCAGCTGATCTCTGGTTTGATATTCCCACCTCACACGCGCAACGCTTTGTGGACACCGACGGTTAAACACTGGGTCTCCAAAGATCTGTCACACGCAGCGGCTACATCCCTGATCCACAAAGTAGAACAGGTAGGATCGCAACACCGTACACTGTCTCTGACAGTCAAGCTGATGTTACGTCGGTGCCGAAAATGTTGGTTGGAGAATGCTACTCTGGACTTCCTAATTCAGAAAGTGAGTTCTATGGTGTCTCATTCTTGTTCCGCAAGTTTATGTTTCCAATCGGCACTACTCCTGGAGAGAGTTGAAAATATGACATCGGGGCCTGACGGAGAATTTGGACTAAGCCCAATAGTTTGGTCGGCTCACCCGATACTTCACTTTCTTATCGTAGACTTATAAGTATTGTGTAGCGAGTTGTTTTGCTGCGGTGCCATGGTTATGGGATACAGTGCTCATATCCGTAGATAATAGTGGTAAGACATAATCGCATTTAGGCATTTGAGCGAAAGATTTTTATCCAGGAACCTTATCATCACCCTGTCTAGGTCTGGGCGCTATGATAGTAGGCTTTGAATATGGAGCCCTTTTTAGCCTCAGGACTGTTCCAGTGTATACCTCTGATCCAGTGTCACTGTGCTCCTAGTCCTGACCATAATCCAACTGCTCTGTCCAAGAATAGAGGCGAATTCCTCAGCCAGTGCCTGTCTAGCTTATTTGCGACTATCTGGGAGAAAGAGACCGTCCCAATCAACCGGGGTAAATTGATATTAGTGCCAATTTTCATTAAAGCTGCTCGCAGTAAATGTTGTAACCGTAAGGATATTTAGTTTGACTTTTGTTATAACAAGGCTTCTGGTGATGCTGATTGTTCGTCGCCTTACGACAGCACGCGAATCCTTGACCCGAGAGCATCAAGCGAGATTTCAACCGGGTAGAGACCGAGGCGACCAGACCTTCACACTCCAGGCACTGGCGCAGTACCGCCATACGTACCCACAATCTAGGCATTCCGGCTGTAGTAACACCACAAACTAAGAAAATTTCTCGTTATTTCTCCGCTTTCAAACTTCACCTGTGCAATAAATACCTCATTTTCGTCGTTGTGCGGCGCTTTAGGTATCACTAATTTGTGTCGACAACACCCGCAACACATGCATGCATAAGCCGTGTAAGTCGCCGGGAATCATATTTTCGAAAACGTGACACTTTAGGCAAAGTAGGAGTGCAAATGCCTCCAATACCTAAAAACGCTGTTGCAGTGTACATCAACCAAAGGTTACATTTGTTATTAAACTCCTACGGAGCTTTTCATGAACTACTCGCCGGCCACAAAAGTGGAAAATCGAGAAGTTGTGGTAATAGTGATATTCAGGCGTTCATTGACTTCAATGGTGTATCGGATTGTCAGCCGATTTCTGCTGTTACCTCATTTGCTCAACAGGGGGTGCCCCGGAAGTTTGTGAACGTGATCCGTTCGTTATATTCACACTTCCGAGCGTGTGAGCTCTCCAATAGCTTCCCCGCAAAAAGTGGTGTTCAACAAAGACAAAATGTGATATGTAGTTAGGTATCAGATGATATAGCGCGGGCCGTCCTCCGAGTGATTTATTTAACACCGCAAAACACTGCATTTGCTAAAAATCCAGTCATATCGGAAGAAATTGTAGGGTCAACCCTGAAAACTATCTCATTAATTGATATTTTATGAAACAGAAAACCAGAGTAGCATATATTCCTGCGTAACGCACCACCTGGTTAAGAATATGAACTCACCGGGACCAGCACGTTCGTACAGAATGAAGTAGTTAATTATGCTCCGTGCATTCCTTAAAAATCATTTTCGCAATAGACTAGCGGAAAACGGTGCACATACCTCCCGCAAAGATCGAACATTTGACGAAAACCTGACAGACTATCGAGGTATCGCAGACATTCAAAAATAAGCCCACCTTGACTGAGTGGTTTGTGATTCCAACGAATAAGATGTTCAGACGCTAGCCCGGAATCAACTGGGGTAATCAGAGTCAGGAAATCCGAAGGATGCCAAGGACGTTTCATAAATTCGTCCACATTTCTGGACACAAGGCGATACGCCATACAGACAGCTCCTTGACTTCCTAACCAAGAGTGAACGCAAAATACAGTGCCACCTAATGTTGGGCTCTGTAATCGCATGCGATATCCTTCTTTGGGTCAAAGAACTCTGCAGCATATCTGGGGTAGAATCTCTTTCTTTAGCAAGCAAGAAATTGCATTCATACCAAAGTTCAATTGAAGTGTTATCAACAGGAATTTTCGCGCTTTGTTCCTTGCGTAGACTAGATCAGGAACTTGCTGGGTAGTTGCCTGTTGAGTGCGCTATTTCCATTGCAGCAATCATGTGGCAGGGCAAATAACCCGTCCGCACCAGGTCTTTTATGAGTAAAAACAGCAAGGAAGACCGGAAGAAGAACAATGAAGTCTCTAAAAGCATCACCGGTTTGTAAGTGGGCCATCTTTTCACTAGGAATTTATCCAGGTGCAGTCTAGAGGGGAGTACCAGTCTGTTGATCGAACATGAATGGCCTCATAGGAAAAACAGTAAGTATCTCCTCGGAGATCGGGAAACGGCAGATATCTACTGCCACCTTGCCTTGTAAACTTGGCTTAGTATCCCCACGGAGAAAACAGCTATTTTACGAGGCCCCAACTTTTACCAACGAACTCAGGCTGATAGGCAGTTAACGCAATAATAATTTGCCAAGGACCACTTCCTCCATCAACTTCGTTACAGATGGCATCAGATTCATTTGAATGTAGCCCGTGGACACCTAGTTTCTTTACCAGGAGGCAATCACTCGCCTGGCAAGTCTAGCCATGTTGACAGGTTTGTACAAAATCCTTGGGCAGCTATATATTGTTGTAATTCATGAGCTTGAGACGCGGTTTCGGTCACGCGTTGACTGTTGATCCATATCGGCTTTGCTTGCCTTTTGGAGTACCTCACCGTTTTTCGAAAACCGTTGAGGTTTGTACTTTTGTATTCCGTGTAACTACTTTCAATTTTATGGTACAGCACATTTGCGTAGCCATTTGTTCGGAGTTTTGCCGGTTTGGTTGCTAACCTTGGTGCTTGTTGCTCAAGAATTCGAAACAGTCGTTACAGTACTCAACGTTGACAAGCGTGGTTCTCTGGATGCCAATCACCAGGTCAATATCGGTCAATCCAAAACGAGAAGAATTTGAGAAGAAAGTCAGGCAAGTCGGACACGGTTCGTTTTCAGCGATGAGCTCTAGGGCTAGTATAGCTTCTAAGATTAGTTTGGGGAATTCGGGGTCCAAGGCTGCTTTATTGTTAGCACAGCTTAAAGAGAGACAACTTAAAGAGGAACTCGAGCTTGTGTCAGAGGCAATGAAAACTAACCATAAAACCAACTCCTGAAGGCTAAAGCCGAGGTGGAGTTGGCTGAGCCCGAAGCTTCGTTGGCTGGAAGCGAAGACGGCTTAGAGCATTGCAACCATTCCGGTTTTTCAGAGTCCTCAAAAAGTCGGATCAAAAGCTATGTTGAATATTGCAGAAAGATTGTAACGCCACTGAACTCTGAAAATCGGCATATTCTCGGAGTAGGAGAACTACAGCATGATGGATTAGGTGACTTCCTTCATCTGGAATGCATTATAGAAGGCCTGGTGTTGCCTAAAATCGGCCTTATGCAGTTTGATGGTCAACCCAGGAGCTATTAGAGGTTTATGCGTCAATTCGAGCTTTAAATCGAAAGCAGGACCCAAGACGAGGGAAGGAAGCTCGTACAATTGGTAAACGCGTGCTCCGGTGAAGCCAGAGAGGCTATCGGAGATTGCCTCATGCTTCAGCCTGCAGAAGGATATGAACGCGCCCGCCGAACGATGCACAAGTTTGAAAGGTCTATCGTCATGCCGTTTGTAGGTTACCTACAAGTGTAAGAATTGACAGAAGCTCGGGTGGGCTTTATCCGTCAGGTTCAAGCAGAACTATACAGTGATGAGTTAACTCGTTTAAAAGCGGACACTCAGTTCGAGCCGACTAGGGTCTCAGCACTGCGTATTCTGTGTCCCATCCTTCCGGACGGTATTCTCTGCGTTGGTGGACGGCTACACCATTCCGGTTATGCATTATCTCTGAAGCACCCGCCTATGTTCCCCAATAAACACCCGGTCACTGATCTACTCATTCGGCACTATCGTGAGGCAGAACGGCATTCTGGCGCCTCTCATGTACTTGGCGTTATCAGGCAAAACGTTTGGATAGTTCATGGGAGTCAGGCGGTGAAGCGCGTCCTCCATAGGGGTATTCAATGCAGAAAGCGGTCAAGGAACATATGTCAGCAGATGATGGTTCCGTTACCCCCGGTGCGATCTGAAAAGGGTAAAAAATATTTCGAGGTTGTGGGTGTTGATTACTTTGGACCATTTCTGGTAAAGCGTTGTCGCAGCATGGAAAAGTGGTACGGCTGCATCTTTTCGTGCATGGCTACCCGATCGATTCACCTCGAAGTGGCGCATTCTTGGACTGCCGATTCCTTTATTTTGGCCTTAATGAAGTTCGTTGGTCGAAGAGGGAGACCTTCGGATATTTACACCGATAACGGATCCGACTTCGTTGGTGCCGTTAAGGAACTCAGGGCGCACGTATCGCTTTGGGACCAAGCGAAAATCAACAACCGACTATTGGCTCGAGGTATTCAGTGGCATTTTACCCCCCGCTTGCTAGCCATCGAGGAGGAATGTGGGAGCGAATGATACGATCAGTACGGCAAATCATTTTTGTGCTCATCCAAGAGCAAACTCTATTTGATGATTGTCTGTCAACCTTTTTTGTTAAGGTGGAACGTATTCTAAACGATCGGCCCTTGACATCTTTGAGTGCAGATTCCCGTGACGCTTTGGCTCTGACTCCGACTCACCTCTTGCTGCACGAAGCGAACGCACGAATCCCATCGCATTGCGATTTGAGAGAGCGACTCACCCGACGTTGGAAACAAATGAATTATTTGTCGGCAGTTTTCTGGAACAGGTGGATGAAAGAATAGACTCCAACGCTCCGGTTACGCCATAAGTGGTTAGGTCGGAACGGAAACCTCAGGGAGCGTGACATCGTTATGGTAATGACCGAACATCTCTCTAGAGGAAGGTGGCCGCTGGGTATTGTCACCGATTGTCAAACAGATGCAGACGGCCTCGTCAGAACGGTTTTCCTCCGCACCAGCTCCGGTATCATCAAGCGCGATGTTAGGAGTCTATGTTTGCTGGAAGAAGAGGACTAACGAGGGGGTACGCAGGTTTAGGGATGCTTCACGATAGACGTACTAGAACAGCCGGTTTTTAGTTCAGCGTGATATCGTGGGTAGGCGCGTGTACCGTTGAAACCGGCCTTTGTGCCGGGAGTAGACTCGGACCACTCAGGTCGGTGACTAAAGTTGCATGCTTGTAGGCTAGAGCTCTCCTGCTAACTTACCTGTTCGCTTAATGACCATCGGAGGAATTTTGACCGGTCCAACTTTTACCAACGAACTCAGGCTGATAGGCAGTTAACGCAATAATAATTTGCCAAGGACCACTTCCTCCATCAACTTCGTTACAGATGGCATCAGATTCATTTGAATGTAGCCCGTGGACACCTAGTTTCTTTACCAGGAGGCAATCACTCGCCTGGCAAGTCTAGCCATGTTGACAGGTTTGTACAAAATCCTTGGGCAGCTATATATTGTTGTAATTCATGAGCTTGAGACGCGGTTTCGGTCACGCGTTGACTGTTGATCCATATCGGCTTTGCTTGCCTTTTGGAGTACCTCACCGTTTTTCGAAAACCGTTGAGGTTTGTACTTTTGTATTCCGTGTAACTATTTCCAATTTTATGGTACAGCACATTTGCGTAGCCATTTGTTCGGAGTTTTGCCGGTTTGGTTGCTAACCTTGGTGCTTGTTGCTCAAGAATTCGAAACGGTCTTTTCACTGTCTACAGTAAGAAAAACTGCCCCACAATATATTCATAAACTGAGTATTTTTCTCACAAGCCTGTTTACACAATTTTTAGGGGGTTCACAATGCGGAGCCTTGATTGACGCACAGGTTAAATGATCTCATGCATCAAAAGAAATGATTGTGTTCGGAATTCTACGGTACCTTTCATGTCACGGTAAACAAGTTTATACAACAATCATCAACTGTCCTCATCTGCACCGTCAACAAATGTACAAGTCTGTCGGTTACAGGTGCAGTGAATTTTCAACGTGCGCACGCCAAACAACGTTGGGCAGAAGGGTGGCTCAGTAGTGCGGGTTGTGGTCATCCCTTTCAACAACGGTCTAGTGATCCTGAATGGCAAGCCCATCACGCGGAACTCATGGGAAAACAAGTCGAGGCAGGCTCAGCAAACTGGGCACAAACGTGCCTGGGTAAGTAGGTTAGCCAAACACATTCGCACTCATGCACAGTTGCTTATAACCAAGCGTCAAACGGGGCAGCTTGTGCTGCAAGTTGAGTTGCCGGTACCAATGTGCTAAACAAATGAAGATCAAAATTACGATTGTAACGCTACGTAATTTTCGCTCACAGGTGCACCGCAGACATGGAAACACTTTAAGTTGCACAAGTTTACCGCGGAGCATTCACTTGCCACTGAGCAAAAGTCAGACCTCATTGGCCTGGGAGCAATTAGCACCACTGACGCACGAACATAGTCGCATGATTTGACTGTCATTTTACCGTTGAACCTGAAATACATCTTCGTGAGTGGCGCTTTTAGTGTGCGGAGGCTAATGATATCCAAGTAGGCCGAATCTCGGCTCTCCCCAACCACT